TTTACTGATTATCTACTATATATAACGTAAAACCCGCCCCCGCCCCGCCCCGCCCCGTTTCCATGCCTAGTTTGAACTGATTACAAAATCCCTATATGGCTTCACACTCCTGATTCCATCAGGGTAGCTTTTACATTCAAGCATTATTTGTTTTAGTCTATTCATGCATGCAGTACCTTATCAATGGACCTTTGTGTGATCTTCTTGCTTCTAGTGCATGCCTGATGCCACTGCTTTACATACCTATGAAAATGTCTACTGTTTCTATTAACTAACCTTTCATATTTTGTTCATCAGCAACAAGTCAGCGATAAGCCTGTCAAAAGAACCCGATAACTCACGGAAGAAGTAAGCATATTGAAACCAAGTTCCATTACTTGAGAGACAAAGTGAATGAAGGGAAGTTGGAGCTTGTGTACTGCAACACTGAGGATCAAGTGGCAGACGTGTTCACTAAAGCTACGAAGGGAGAAAGGGTTCGAGGTTTAAGAGATAAGTTGAAAGTTCGTGATGTTGAGAAAATCTGAATTAAGAGGGAATGTTGAAATGTAATTCAGATCATATAAATAGACCCACTTGTATAATAAAGTGATATACATGCAAACGTAATTTCCTCTCTCTACACGTTCACATAATATCCTCTCTCTTCAGGTTTACGTATTCTCTCTCTTTCTTGTTTCACGTTCCAACATTTATCTACTCTATTATTGTTATAAATAAACCTCATAATTTTTCATAATTTTGTAAGGCCTGGTCATTTTTTTTCTATTTTTTTAATAAAAAAGAAATTGAAGTATTATTATTTCATCGTAATATTTTTTTCTCCAAATAGAGCATGAATTATTCTTACTATTCTCATATTAAAACTTAAAAAATGATGATTGTTGTGAGATTAAGTAAATAATTAAGCTTTCAATTATTCTTACATTGATTCTCGTCGTGCCAATCACTAACTCTAGTGATGATATAATGGTTCTTTTGACGATGATCACGAACTCTAGTGGTAATACCAACAAAGGTTCCAATGCTAAAGACATTATTTGTCTTAAATATTTGTAAATTAGGAATAATTATGTACCTTTAATGAATAATTACTCTTTATATATAGAAAACTTTTGACGAAAGTTATGCTTGTTATGTCACTTGAAAAGTAGTTTTGGTAACCGAGAAATGTCATTTTGAATACGTTAAATCACTAACTAGTCCGACTTTATAATTTAGTGTTCGCTGTAGATCAAAAGACTATTTACATCTTATATGAGAATGTCATGAGTTAAAACGATCTCTATAGAACAGTTGTCCCAAGTAGGTATTACTTAGTGAAAACAATACTGGTCAAAGAGTTTAAAGCTGAGATAAACCTCTAGAAGAATATGACAAAGATTTCTTATAAATAAAATTGCTTATTTAAATTTTAAAAATTGAATATATTTTCTATCGCTAGTGCATATATATCTTTTGTGTGGTTCATATGATTGTGATTTTTATAACATGTGATTAATTGTTATAAATCTTGTAGTTGTTGGTTCAATTTAATATATTAATTTTAATTATAATTTACTTTTAGTTTTTAAACTATTATAATTTATTTTATTATATGCGACTTTTCTTATGAATTTTTTCATTTAAATTTGGAAGAAATGTTGTTCTTACAAATTTTTTTACAAAATTTTATCTCTAGGTAATACCTTCGTGGATAATATGTTTTTGTAAATTTTAAAATTCGCAAGAAATTTTCCTACGAATTTTTTTGCAAGAAAAAAATCAAAGAAATTACTATTCGAAGGTAATTTTTGTACAATTTCTATTAATAATTCTTCAACTTTCAAATACTTAAAATAAATTCATCCAAAGCATGTAAATTATAAGTCTAACACTCAACTATACAAAATTAACTTGTAAGGTGAGTGTTACCCCAACTTATATACTCTTTAATTGTTTTATTTATAATCAATGTGAGACTTGAGGAAACTCTTTAAATTCTTAAACTTATAATTTATATATATTTTAATTTTTCTTGCGAATTAAAATTGACAGGAAAATCTAGAAGAAAAATTACTTACGAAATTTTTCTACCATTTAATAAACATTACTTGTAAATTTATTTTTACAAGAAAATTCGCAAGAAAAAGGATAAAATTTTTACAATATTTTCTGCAAATTTTTACCATGGAAATAAATTTGCTATGATCATTAATATTGTAGCAAAATTTGCAAAAAAGAAAATTGTAGATTATTTTTTATAAAGTTTGTAAGAAATTTCTATAAATTATTTTTTTCAAATAAATTTGCAAATTTTTTTTGTAAAATTATTATTTAAGAAAATTCACAAAAAAAAAATCTACAAATATTTTTTTAAAAAAAGTTTTAAAAAAATGATAATTTTCTAGTTGTGTAATGTTTCACCCCTCAAAAAAATAATCTTGCATTATACCTTACCACATCCATTACTTTTTCTTTGTTTTTTTCCTCCTTATTTTTCTTTCTTCACCACCCCAATCGGGATCCACAGCGTTATCTTTCTTTCATACCAATTAATAATGCGATAAAAAGATAGGATGAAAGAAAATAAAAGGCCAAGATTATCAATCTTAATGAAAATCTCAGCATGAAATAAACCTTTATTTAAAGCGAAATCCAGTACATGCGTGTAATGAAACACGCATAGATCGCACATTAGTACATACTTATTCAGTTATTCCACACATAGAGAGAGTGCCTAATGGCTATTTTCCGTACAAACAAGTACGCATCGTGCATGCATGCATGCGTGGTTCTGATCTACAGAGGCAGAGACTTAGACCCCAAACCATAGAAACTTTTGGACGCAAACGCAAACGCATCACCATCACACACACATCTACACGCTTTCCCAACGCTATCTTTAATCTTCGTAGAGTAATCACCTTGCTCATCACTGTACCTGTCCCATATCATAACCCCACCATAGTTGGAAGCAAGCTTCACGCTCGGAAGAATCTCAGAAACAACAACTTCCGGTGCCACATACCCCACCACGTCTTCGGAAGCCGCAAGCCCCAAGAATATCGAACTCGAGGGAACATTTTTGATCCACGTGTTCCACGCGGTCAAAAGACTCGAAGCGTTGTTGTTCGCGTAGATGCAAGGGTTCTGGAAGAAGAACTCGACCCAAATGTAGTCAAAGAGACCAGTTTCTATTGCTTTTCCCAGGTAGTAATCTGGGTACACGCATTGTGGTGATGCTGAAAGGTAAATTTTTCTGGCGGTTGTGGACGCGTTAATGGCGGTAACAACTTCGTCCCATTTAAGGTTATCTCCGTCCGCCACGTCAGAAATATCGATGCCGTCCAACGACACGTTTCCCAATGGACCGGCTTTGCCACTGAGGAAATTCTCCAGGAGGTAGGTTGCGAGTTCTTGCGCCGCTTCCGCTGACCGGTAGTGCCGGTTTCCGGTTTTTAGGGTTGGTGGTCTGTCTTGGTCTTGGCCAATGGAGAGGATTACTTTGATGTCGTTTTGTTGGCAGTATTCTATCTCTGGCTGGAGTTTGGTGCAAGGGTTTGTGCTTGAACCGCAGTGATCTGCTAAGTTTAACGCTGGGGTGGTTCCATTGTCGTACACGATTAGGCTTTCTAGGATCACGATGTTGTAGTTCCCGGTCTCGCATGCACTTTGTAGGGTGCTTTCGTCTTGGGAAGAGGGTCTTTGGCCCCAGTAAACGGAGATGGCTCCGGCGCCGCTGCAGTCGGCGGCGTTGGAGGTGGTTGTGAAGGAGAGGGTTGCAAGGGCCAAGAGAAGGAGGGTGGTTGATGGTTGTTTTGGGATGGCCATGGTTGTTGGTTGTTATGTTATGGTAGTGGTAGTCTTGTTTAGGTTTATGATGTGCAGGGTAGAGTAACAACCAATTTATAGTGGAGCTGTTTTTTTTTTTATTTTTTTTATTTTTTTTATCAACCAACAAATATTTGTATTAATATGTAGAGGTACGTATAAGAGGTAAAACCCAAATACATAAGATAAATAGAAAGTTATATTACCCTTGATTAAAATTAATTATTTGAGTTTATGATATTAAATTATATTTTAATCAAGGACTCCAAAAAATAGATAACAAATTAGATACATAAAATAATCCAGTACCATAGAGTACATAATCCTTCTGAGGATAATCCATTAGTTCTAGTCAAGTACTTCTTTAAATGCATGGGCCAGGATTAGTTGATCATAAGTAAAAAGGAAAAGGAGCTATGTATGTCTTTATTGGTAAGAAAATTTTCTTTTATGTAAAATACTTGTTGATTTTTAGATGACTAATATTTATCAAAAAAAATTGATTAGTTATTTTTGGTAGATCTTTTAATTTAATTATATATTTTTTTCAAGATTTTCAAAATCCTATTTAAAGGATCGAGTTTGATTTTACTCGACTATCAAATCGATGATTAATTATCATGAACAAGGATAGATCCAAAACTCTGTTAAGAAGTGGCGTGAAGGAATTTTTTTAATGATAAATTTATATAAATATTAGATTATAATTATTAAATGCATCATATCTTTTATTAGCAATATAAAATATATATAAACTTTTAATCGATCTCTCTATATAAAACTAAACAAATAATGAAATATCATTTATCTTATTCTGAAGTTTATTTTTTACCATCTAAAAGAAGTCTCTTAATTATAATAACCGAAACAGAAAGAGGTAATTAAAAGTTAAGTTAAATATTTTTTTAATAATTATATATTTAAGATAATAACTATATATATATTATCACAGTTCAATTTCCAAAGAGTCATGGAAGGCTCTCCTTGCACTCTTGTATCCGTCACTGTCATGGATATAGAGGATTAAGTGAAAATGATGTTTTGTAACACGTTTCTTCTCTGCGTTGAAACTTTTGACGCCACTCATTTATACTTTGGTAAATTATTCAGATACTATACTTATTGAAATTTGACGATTCATGACCTTATTTGCTTATGTACCTACCAAGAGAAATAGTCATAAGTTTTGTTTGGATAAATTTCGGTTATTAGAAAGTTTGAAATATTTTTTTAATAAGTTAAAATTATTTTGTGCATAAATGAAAAGTAAAATTTTAAAAATGCTAATAAAAGAGATTTTATAAATTAAATATTTATACATAAATTAACTTTATCTTATAAAAAAATATTTATTTTTCTATGCTTTTTGGGAAGTTTGCCCCAGCATATCCATGATATGTTTTCTTGTGTGAAAAAACAAAGGAGATGTTTGGCTTCTGTTGGAAAAAAAAAATTGGCTATACATGCACTACTAGAAAAATTAATATTTGTGACGAATTT